GTTCTCTTCCAACATGGCGAAGTCATATCCGCAATCGCGTCGTCGCCATCCCGGTGGCGCGAAGGCGTCGCTGCTCCTCGCCTGCCTAATTCTCCTCCTCACGCCCCGCCATCTAGAACTTTCTGAGGATTCCCTGCACTGTACTAAGCTTTCCTGTAGCGCAAACGGGTTCATTCTAAGCGGGGCATCGCATGCGTCCAGCAGTGAGCATAGATCCGCGCGGACGTTGCGATCAGCCTCCGCTCCGCAGCTCCCCTTGCGCGCGCAACCCGCGAAATTCGCCGCTCCTGGAGCTCCGCAAATTCCCACTCCGCTTCTCCGCTTCCGCCCACAGCCCGCAGAATCCGCGGAACCGGGCAGCACCGGGGGAAGACAGCGGCGGAAAGGCAGGCGCAAACAGGCGCGGTATGGGGAGCAGGCGGAGGTGGGGGATCAGCGGAACCCGCAGGATCAGTGGGATGAGCGGGAGGGGGATCCGCGGGGTGAGCGGGAGCGGACGGGGGCGGCGGCGGCGCTAGAGGCGGCGGTGGACGGGTCTTCACTCGAGGTGCTGCCTCTGGCCGACCTCCTTCAAGCGCCGCGAACCGCGCAGCAGCTGGAGTGGCAGCGAGCGCAGCAGCAGCAGCAGCAGCAGCAGCGGGCGGCAGCGCAGCAGCGGCGCCAGCACCAGGTGTGTGTCCGGATTTCCAGCCGTGGGGTTTCTTCTCGCCTGACGCCCCCTCCCCGCACATCCATGCATGTGCATGGCGGCCCACGGCAGGTGACGATACCCTCACTGGTACCCCTCCAGTCAACCACAACAGCAAGAGCAGTGAGAACAGTGAGAGCAGTGGGAGCAGCAGCAGCGCGGTTCTGGCGGCGCTGTCTGCCTTCATGCAGCAGTTTCTGGCGGACAGGGCAAGCGGGGGAGGGGGGGGGAGAGGCGGCGCAGTGGGTGGGGGGAGCGGCAGGGCGGGTGGGGACGGCGGTGCTGCAGTGGGTGGGAGGAGCGTGGCGGTGCAGCAGGACTGTCAGCACTGGAAGTGGCTGTGGCCGCGCCCCCTGGTGACACGTGGCGAGATGTGTTTGGACGAGGACGAGGTGCGGGAATTCGTGGAAGAATGGCTGTGGGCGGAGAAGGAGCGAGAGAAGAAGATGATGGAGAGTCAGAGAGAGAAGGAGAGGCGGAAGCAGGGGCTTGTGAAGGATGAGATGGTTGGGGAGGAGGTGATTAAGGAGGGTTTGGAGTTGGATCCTAAGGAGGTATTCAGACGCACCCAGGAGGCGATTAAGTTCATGGAGGCTGAGCGTGGGGCGCGGGTGGTGGGTAGCGAGGGGGGAGAGGATGGAGAGGAGGAGAAGGGGGAGGAGGTGGAGGGGGAGGGGACGGAGTTGGGGATGGGAGGAGGAGTGGTGGGGCAAGGGGGGGTGGTGCTGTTGCGAGATGTGTTTGTGGATGGGAGGGGTGTTGTGTTCAACGCGTCTCATGTGTTCTCAGTGTATGGGGCGTGCGCAGGCATGCGGGGAGGCAGCAGGAAGAGGCAGCACAAAGCAGTTGAGAAGCTGAAGAAGGTGAGGATGGGATGGGCTTGTGCTCAACGCGTCTCGTGAGAATGAGAATGAGAATGAGAATGAGAATGAGAATGAGAATGAGAATGAGAATGGGAATGGGAATGGGAATGAGAATGAGAATGGGAGGGGAGTACGAGGTGAATAGAGGTGATTTTCTAGGCGCCTCAAGAATCACCTCAATGCAGAGGGGAGCACCTCAACGCAGAGGGGAGCACCTCAATGCAGAGGGGAGCACCTCAATGCAGAGGGGAGCACCTCAATGCAGAGGGGAGCACCTCAATGCAGAGGGGAGCACCTCAATGCAGAAAGGAGCACCTCAATGCAGAGGGGAGCACCTCAATGCAGAGGGGAGCACCTCAATGCAGAGGGGAGCACCTCAATGCAGAGGGGAGCACCTCAATGCAGAGGGGAGCACCTCAATGCAGAGGGGAGCACCTCAATGCAGAGGGGAGCACCTCAATGCAGAGGGGAGCACCTCAATGCAGAGGGGAGCACCTCAATGCAGAGGGGAGCACCTCAATGCAGAGGGGAGCACCTCAATGCAGAGGGGAGCACCTCAATGCAGAGGGGAGCACCTCAATGCAGAAAGGAGCACCTCAATGCAGAGGGGAGCACCTCAATGCAGAGGGGAGCACCTCAATGCAGAGGGGAGCACCTCAATGCAGAGGGGAGCACCTCAATGCAGAGGGGAGCACCTCAATGCAGAGGGGAGCACCTCAATGCAGAGGGGAGCACCTCAATGCAGAGGGGAGCACCTCAATGCAGAGGGGAGCACCTCAATGCAGAGGGGAGCACCTCAATGCAGAAAGGAGCACCTCAATGCAGAGGGGAGCACCTCAATGCAGAGGGGAGCACCTCAATGCAGAGGGGAGCACCTCAATGCAGAGGGGAGCACCTCAATGCAGAGGGGAGCACCTCAATGCAGAGGGGAGCACCTCAATGCAGAGGGGAGCACCTCAATGCAGAGGGGAGCACCTCAATGCAGAGGGGAGCACCTCAATGCAGAGGGGAGCACCTCAATGCAGAGGGGAGCACCTCAATGCAGAGGGGAGCACCTCAATGCAGAGGGGAGCACCTCAATGCAGAGGGGAGCACCTCAATGCAGAGGGGAGCACCTCAATGCAGAGGGGAGCACCTCAATGCAGAGGGGAGCACCTCAATGCAGAGGGGAGCACCTCAATGCAGAGGGGAGCACCTCAATGCAGAGGGGAGCACCTCAATGCAGAGGGGAGCACCTCAATGCAGAGGGGAGCACCTCAATGCAGAGGGGAGCACCTCAATGCAGAGGGGAGCACCTCAATGCAGAGGGGAGCACCTCAATGCAGAAAGGAGCACCTCAATGCAGAGGGGAGCACCTCAATGCAGAGGGGAGCACCTCAATGCAGAGGGGAGCACCTCAATGCAGAGGGGAGCACCTCAATGCAGAGGGGAGCACCTCAATGCAGAGGGGAGCACCTCAATGCAGAGGGGAGCACCTCAATGCAGAGGGGAGCACCTCAATGCAGAGGGGAGCACCTCAATGCAGAGGGGAGCACCTCAATGCAGAAAGGAGCACCTCAATGCAGAGGGGAGCACCTCAATGCAGAGGGGAGCACCTCAATGCAGAGGGGAGCACCTCAATGCAGAGGGGAGCACCTCAATGCAGAGGGGAGCACCTCAATGCAGAGGGGAGCACCTCAATGCAGAGGGGAGCACCTCAATGCAGAGGGGAGCACCTCAATGCAGAGGGGAGCACCTCAATGCAGAGGGGAGCACCTCAATGCAGAGGGGAGCACCTCAATGCAGAGGGGAGCACCTCAATGCAGAGGGGAGCACCTCAATGCAGAGGGGAGCACCTCAATGCAGAGGGGAGCACCTCAATGCAGAGGGGAGCACCTCAATGCAGAGGGGAGCACCTCAATGCAGAGGGGAGCACCTCAATGCAGAGGGGAGCACCTCAATGCAGAGGGGAGCACCTCAATGCAGAGGGGAGCACCTCAATGCAGAGGGGAGCACCTCAATGCAGAGGGGAGCACCTCAATGCAGAGGGGAGCACCTGGCGAACCCACTGCCGTAAGTTTTTTGAGGCGCCTCAAGAATTAGAGGGGAGTACCTGGTGAATCTGCTGCTGTATGAACAGCAGGAGGGACGTATGAAGAGCAGGAGGGACGTATGAAGAGCAGGAGGGACGTATGAAGAGCAGGAGGGAGAGGACTCAAAGGAGCAAGAACCTCTCCTCTTTCGTTCCTCCCCTGCTCCTCTCCAGTCCCTCTCCTTCCCTCCAGGCACCCCTGTGAGCGTGCACGAGCACCTGGTGAACCTACTGCCATACGAGCAGGAGGAAGAAGATGAGGAGGGGGGTGGGAGTGAAGGGAGCAGAGGCGGAGAGTGGGCGGCGCAGGCGAGGGTGCACAGTGGGGGGGCGAGGGGGCTGGTGCGGCTGCTGCCCGTGCTCTTCCTGCTCGCCTCCTCCCTCATGCCCACTGCCCGTCGCTTCCCTGTTCTGCTGAATCACCGCCATGTGAGTTGTGGGGAGGGGAGGGGGGGGAGGGTGTGTTGGGTGTTTGGCGCAGCCCATTCTGCTCGCGCATCTTGACCCAGCCCGGATGTCTTTGGCATTGACCTCCCCCCACTCGCTATGCGCCACTCCGCAACCCTGTTTTATGTCAATGCATCCACCACAGCAGCACCAGCGCCTCACCTCTGTCTTTCTCTCCTTTCTCCTTCCTTCCGTTTCCCCATCCTTTCCTCACCTCCGTCCATGAATCAGCTGCTATCGCATCTCGGCCCGGATGTCTTTGGTGTGGACCTCGCCCCACTAGCCATCCGCCACCCTTCAGCCCTGCTTCACGGCACCTACAGCACCACCAGCACCTACAGCACCACCAGCAGCGACAGCAGCACCAGCAGCACCAGCAGCACCAGCAGCACCAGCAGCGACAGCTCTTACAACGACCCAGGCAGTGGCCCTGATCCCACCACTGACACCACCGGCATGCCTCCCCACCTCTTCTTCGCGCAAACCCTCCTCCTCCCCATCCACACCCCCAGCCTCTGCGCCCTCTCGTCACCTTCTCTCACCGCACTCCACTCCTCTCCACTGCACACCCCCGACGCCCTCTGGCTGGCCCTACGTGGGTACTACCTGCTGCCCCCCCACGGCCTCCCCATCCTCTCCCCCGACTGGACCCCCCGCCTCCCTGCGCCCCTGCAAGTGCCAGCACCTGAAAATTCACCTGAAGATTTTCCTGATGGGCTGGTGGTAGGGCGGTCGCTGCCGGAGGATTGGGTGGTGGTGGTGTCGGTGGTGTGGAGTACGCATGTGATGGAAGGAGGGGGGGCAGGGGGGGGGGGAGTGAGGGCGACAGAGGCAGCCATGCATGTGATTATAGCGATGCTCAAGGAGCTGTTCTCGGATGGGAGGGTGATTGTATACGATGAGCACATGCCGCTGCTGCAAGGTGGGTGGCTCACAGGCGCACAGGCATGCATGGATGCATGTGGGGCAGAGATGCATGTGGGGCAGAGATGCATGTGAGGCAGAGATGCATGTGAGGCAGAGATGCATGTGAGGCAGAGATGCATGTGAGGCAGAGATGCATGTGAGGCAGAGATGCATGTGAGGCAGAGATGCATGTGAGGCAGAGATGCATGTGAGGCAGAGATGCATGTGAGGCAGAGATGCATGTGAGGCAGAGATGCATGTGAGGCAGAGATGCATGTGAGGCAGAGATGCATGTGAGGCAGAGATGCATGTGAGGCAGAGATGCATGTGAGGCAGAGATGCATGTGAGGCAGAGATGCATGTGAGGCAGAGATGCATGTGAGGCAGAGATGCATGTGAGGCAGAGATGCATGTGAGGCAGAGATGCATGTGAGGCAGAGATGCATGTGAGGCAGAGATGCATGTGAGGCAGAGATGCATGTGAGGCAGAGATGCATGTGAGGCAGAGATGCATGTGAGGCAGAGATGCATGTGAGGCAGAGATGCATGTGAGGCAGAGATGCATGTGAGGCAGAGATGCATGTGAGGCAGAGATGCATGTGAGGCAGAGATGCATGTGAGGCAGAGATGCATGTGAGGCAGAGATGCATGTGAGGCAGAGATGCATGTGAGGCAGAGATGCATGTGAGGCAGAGATGCATGTGAGGCAGAGATGCATGTGAGGCAGAGATGCATGTGAGGCAGAGATGCATGTGAGGCAGAGATGCATGTGAGGCAGAGATGCATGTGAGGCAGAGATGCATGTGAGGCAGAGATGCATGTGAGGCAGAGATGCATGTGAGGCAGAGATGCATGTGAGGCAGAGATGCATGTGAGGCAGAGATGCATGTGAGGCAGAGATGCATGTGAGGCAGAGATGCATGTGAGGCAGAGATGCATGTGAGGCAGAGATGCATGTGAGGCAGAGATGCATGTGAGGCAGAGATGCATGTGAGGCAGAGATGCATGTGAGGCAGAGATGCATGTGAGGCAGAGATGCATGTGAGGCAGAGATGCATGTGAGGCAGAGATGCATGTGAGGCAGAGATGCATGTGAGGCAGAGATGCATGTGAGGCAGAGATGCATGTGAGGCAGAGATGCATGTGAGGCAGAGATGCATGTGAGGCAGAGATGCATGTGAGGCAGAGATGCATGTGAGGCAGAGATGCATGTGAGGCAGAGATGCATGTGAGGCAGAGATGCATGTGAGGCAGAGATGCATGTGAGGCAGAGATGCATGTGAGGCAGAGATGCTCAAGGAGCTGTGTCTTGGGTGTACGCATGATTTCTGTCACATGACTTGTTGTACCGAGGCTTGTTTGGGTACTTTATTTCCGTTTTTGCTTGTCTAGACGTTCCCTTCGTTGATAATCTCTCATTTCAATATTATCCCCTTTCCTCTCCTTGTTCTTTTACTTTCTTCCCGTCTTCCTGACGCTCCCCCGCCCCACTCCCCCTGCAGCAAAAGCACTGTTTTCAAGAGCCATCCTCCTGGTGGGCCCCACGTCCCCCGCCCTCACCAACCTCATCTTTATGCCCTTCAACTCCACCCTCATAGAGCTCCTCCCCTACCCTGCCACGCGGCCCCGCTCCTCCCTCCCCCTCTCGCTCCTCCTCCGCTCGCCCTACCACAAGAAAGCAGCGGCTGAGTCTGCTCTGATCGGCCAACCGAGCGCCGCCACGTGGCACTGCCAGCTGGCGGAGCGGCTCGGGATTCGACATTATCTGAGCGTGTGCGACCCCACGTGGCTGGACAAAAACACGGGGGAACAGTGCCACGTGGACGAGGTCTATGCAACAGTGCTCGCTACAGTCCGAAGAAACCCGACCTTGCTAGCCCTCGCAGGAATTCCCGCCATCTCCTTTCCACCTGATGTCTTCCAGCCTTCCCCCGAGCCTCCTCCTACTGACAGCAGCACCGGCATCCGTGCCGAACCCAGCGACTTCGCCGAAGCTGCCAGCAGGTTCGGCATTTTCGGCGACTTCATCCCAGGATCGAGGCTGGGGGATAGCGGCAGCCAATCTGAAGACCTCAGCGATTACATCCCGGGGTCGAGGCTACAGAGGGGGGCGGGGCAGGTGGGGGAGTTTAGGCGGTGGGCGGCGTGTGTGGCGGAGAGGGGGGAGTGGCGCTTCAACGCCACTCCGCGCGTGCTGCCCTGGGCCGAACAAGGCTTTGACAACTGCGACCTGTTCCAAGTCCGGGAGAACGGAGGCTTGGCCGGAGCTGCTGCCGATGCTGTCGCTTTGGATCCGGAGATGGGTCGGGAGGAGCGGGAGCAGGCATGGAAAGTGAGGGATGCGTTGAAGTATCAATGGGGGGTTGCCAAGGACAGGTGTCCGCGCGTGGTTCGTGCGAAGCTAGGGGCCCGAGCCCAGGCTGTTCCAGGTTCGGAGGTTTCCGAGCCTGACGAGCTGTTCTCTAGGTTCGACGGGCGTGCGCTGTGTGAGCTGGCTCGGCGGAGGATCGGCGGGCTGAGAATCGCTTTTGTCGGGGACTCACTGACCCGAGAGGCACACATATCCTTCGTGCACAGCATTGTAACGCACGTGCGAAAGCCGGCGAGCGTGGTAACCAGAGAGGACGGCGCCGAGTGGGTGAGGCAGATGGTGCAAAAAAAAGGGGAATTTTACACCCGAGCGACGTACCGCTTTGATGACGTGGGTGACGGTGGGTGTGCGAAGCTAGTGGTGCATTACATTGCGAACCGCCGGCTTGTGCCTGTGCGAGAGGAGAAGAGGGACCGTGTACGATGGATTAGCACGCCTTGGATGGAGAGTGAGGAGATCAAGGGGGCTCATGTGGTGGTGCTGAATCGCGGCGCGCATTTCAAGCCCACGGGGCACGTCGTGGTGTCGGTGTCCCGCGCGCTGCAGTTCCTCCGGTATAATTACCCCGAGAAGCTGATCATTTACCGGGCGACGGCCCCGGGTCACCTCAACTGCAAGGACTACGACAAACCCCTTTTAAAGCGGCAAAATGGGAGCGATTTACCCTTCCACTGGGGGGAATTCAAGGCGCAAAACGAGGCGGTGAGGCCGATAGTAGAGGCAATGGGGGGTGTATTTATGGATGTGGATCCTCTAAGTGCGTTGAGACCAGATGGGCATAGGGGGTTTGTAGAGAAGATGGACTGCTTGCATTACTGCTTGCCGGGACCGGAAGACACATGGTCAGAGTTCCTGTATAATATTATACAGAGGCTTGTTCCTGTAAAGTAGGCGTATATACTTTTGTATCTTTTTTTTTTCCCATGTATTTTATGACAGGTTCTTCCACAACAGTGAAAAGAAAAAATGTCAAGCTGTGCTTTGAACATGATAAACACTTCGATTTTTCCTGAACACACTATATGCAGCCACTGCACTTCATTGGTCCACTCGTTTGTCAGGGTAACTCCACAGGTCAACAAGAACCAATCAAGGCGAGTCAACGCAAGTCAACGGAGCCAATCAGGGCGAGTCAACGCGGAAGAAGGTGTAGGAGAGGGTGAGGTGGTTCACGTTCTTCATCTGTGGGTCGGTGGCAAACTCTGGATCGATGTAAAAGAACACCTGGTGGGTGGCAGAGAGGGTTGAGGGGTGGTGGGAGGGTTTAGGGGGTGCAAGGGGGGTGCATGGTTGGGTGCAAGGGGGGTGCATGGTTGGGTGCAAGGGGGGTGCATGGTTGGGTGCAAGGGGGGTGCATGGTTGGGTGCAAGGGGGGTGCATGGTTGGGTGCAAGGGGGGTGCATGGTTGGGTGCAAGGGGGGTGCATGGTTGAGTGCAAGGGGGGTGCATGGTTGAGTGCAAGGGGGGTGCATGGTTGGGTGCAAGGGGGGTGCATGGTTGGGTGCAAGGGGGGTGCATGGTTGGGTGCAAGGGGGGTGCATGGTTGGGTGCAAGGGGGGTGCATGGTTGAGTGCAAGGGGGGTGCATGGTTGAGTGCAAGGGGGGTGCATGGTTGGGTGCAAGGGGGGTGCATGGTTGAGTGCAAGGGGGGTGCATGGTTGGGTGCAAGGGGGGTGCATGGTTGAGTGCAAGGGGGGTGCATGGTTGAGTGCAAGGGGGGTGCATGGTTGGGTGCAAGGGGGGTGCATGGTTGAGTGCAAGGGGGGTGCATGGTTGGGTGCAAGGGGGGTGCATGGTTGGGTGCAAGGGGGGTGCATGGTTGGGTGCAAGGGGGGTGCATGGTTGGGTGCAAGGGGGGTGCATGGTTGGGTGCAAGGGGGGTGCATGGTTGGGTGCAAGGGGGGTGCATGGTTGGGTGCAAGGGGGGTGCATGGTTGGGTGCAAGGGGGGTGCATGGTTGGGTGCAAGGGGGGTGCATGGTTGGGTGCAAGGGGGGTGCATGGTTGGGTGCAAGGGGGGTGCATGGTTGGGTGCAAGGGGGGTGCATGGTTGGGTGCAAGGGGGGTGCATGGTTGGGTGCAAGGGGGGTGCATGGTTGGGTGCAAGGGGGGTGCATGGTTGGGTGCAAGGGGGGTGCATGGTTGGGTGCAAGGGGGGTGCATGGTTGGGTGCAAGGGGGGTGCATGGTTGGGTGCAAGGGGGGTGCATGGTTGGGTGCAAGGGGGGTGCATGGTTGGGTGCATGGTTGGGTGCATGGTTGGGTGCATGGTTGGGTGCATGGTTGGGTGCATGGTTGGGTGCATGGTTGGGTGCATGGTTGGGTGCATGGTTGGGTGCATGGTTGGGTGCATGGTTGGGTGCATGGTTGGGTGCATGGTTGGGTGCATGGTTGGGTGCATGGTTGGGTGCATGGTTGGGTGCATGGTTGGGTGCATGGTTGGGTGCATGGTTGGGTGCATGGTTGGGTGCATGGTTGGGTGCATGGTTGGGTGCATGGTTGGGTGCATGGTTGGGTGCATGGTTGGGTGCATGGTTGGGTGCATGGTTGGGTGCATGGTTGGGTGCCCACCAGGTGCATGGTTGGGTACTTTTGAGGTGCCTCAAAAGGGGGGTGCATGGTTGTGTACTAGGTGAAGATCGATGACATAAGTGGTGCTTCATGTGTGGGTCGGTGGCAAGGAATGCAGGGATCAATGTGAAAAAACACCTGGTGGGAAGGAAGGGAGGGAGAGCAATGTGATGTGCCACATCACACACACACACACACACACACACGCACACACACACACACACACACACACACATACACACACACACACACACACACACACACACACACACACACACACACACACACACACACACACACACACACACACACACACTGGCATGTTGATGGTGTTTCTAGCTTGGATGGTTGTGATTGGGCACAAGACACATAGGCAATGACACATGGCACATGACACGTGGAACATGGCACATGACACATGGAACATGGCACATGACACGTGGAACATGGCACATGACACGTGGAACATGGCACATGACACGTGGAACATGGCACATGCACCATGGCACACTCACAGGCATGTCGATGGTCTCTCCAGGTTGAAGCCTCTGCTCCTCGAAGCAAAAGCACTGAATCTTGTTGAAATAGATGCCCGCCTGGTGGGGGGGGGGGGGGGGGGGGGGGGGGGGGGGGGGGGGGGGGGGGGGTTGGGAAGGAGGGGAGAAACAAACGGGGCAGGGAGAGCAGCGGGTCTTGATGAAGTGGATGCTTTTTGAGTCGTCTCAAAAATTCACTTTTTACAGTGGGTCTTGATGAAGTGGATGCTTTTTGAGTCGTCTCAAAAATTCACTTTTTACAGTGGGTCTTGATGAAGTGGATGCGGTGCAGTCGCAGGCAGCTGGGGAGGGGGAGAAATGGGAAAGAGAGTGGAAGAGAAGCAAAGACACCGAATCTTGTTGGAAAAGAAGCACAATTTCAAGATATGGGCGGCACACCTCCCTTCGAGATATGGGCGGCACACCTCCCTTCGAGATATGGGCGGCACACCTCCCTTCGAGATATGGGCGGCACACAGATGGGCAGCACACAGATGGGCGGCATACCTTCATGGGAGAGACGTTGTAGGTGCTGACGCCTGTGATTGGCTTGTCACTCTTGTTGTGTGCTGTGTAGAACGCGAGCGTGCTCTGGCCGGGCCTCACCCGAACCTACGAGAGAGGCTCGAGACGAATGGCACGTGGAGAGTTGGCGAAGTGAATTGTGGCAGCATCAGATCAGAGAGCACGCAAGTAGATGGCACATCGATGAAGCAGCAGGAAAGAGCAGAGTCTTATACCATGTCAGATCATGCTGTTTACCATGTCAGATTATGCTGTTTACCATGTCAGATCATGCTGTTATGACATGCGGGATACCACCCCTACTGATCCCATGCCATGCCCTGTTATGAAAAGAGATCCCATCCCATCCCATCCCATCCCATCCCATCCCATCCCATCCCATCCCATGCCATGCCATGCCATGCCATGCCATGACATGCATAGTCCCTGCCACAGTGGGCATCTCATGATGAGATGTGCCATGATGGCACGGTGCCACCTCAGCATGCCGCGCATCACACACACCCACCTCTCTTTGTGTGGGGATGAAGCGCCACGGTAGCCCCTCTGCCACGTCAGCATTAAAATGAATCACCAGCTCCCTAAAGTTTACGCGTGGCGGGGAAAGAACAACCAGGGACACGGCAGTCATGTAGAACGAGTGAAAAGAGTAAGGCGTTTGAAAAAGAAGAGGGAATGGGACAAGGCGACAGCATGTTGCGATGCCTGATTGCGATTGATACAAGTGGGTGCCATGAGCTGTATGAGTTACTGGGAGGTTAGCAAAGGTGAGGACAGGTGAGGAGAGGTGAGGACAGGTGAGGAGAGGTGAGGAGAGGTGAGGAGAGTTGAGGACAGGTGAGGACAGGTGAGGAGAGGTGCAGCGAGCGGGGCGGGGCCCTCATAGCAGCAACATACCTGGCAGGCGCTGCAGTGTTATCTGCATTCTGCCGCGCCACCTTCTCCTCCACCGTCTGCAAGATTCACTCACAGCCGCACCACACAAGGAGATGAGCGATACGAGTGAGATGAGCGGGATCAGCGGAATGTTGTGAAACGATGAGAGGAAATTGTCGAAGAAGCGCGAGCAGACGCCTGTAAATTTAACTTTTGAAAATCTCAAAAGTAAAATTCACGTTGAAGCGCGAGCAGATGCGTGTAAGATTACCCCTCCCTCGCCATCCAGCCACCTTCCATCCTCTCGCTTGCCCCAAAAATCTCAGCTTTTCAGTCAACCTCGACCTGCCATACCTCTCATTCTTCCCAGCGACAATCAGACATCACCCCCTCCCCCATTCCCCCCCTCATTTCCCTCCTCCATTCTCCCCTCCTTCTCCCCTCATTCGCCCCTCATTCCCCAACTTCTTCCCTCCATTCCTCCTCCCCACCACACCTCTTTCCGCTGCGTCGTCCCGCCAAACCCCGTGGCTTGACAGAGAAGGCGATAGAGGGGCACGGAGGCCTACTCAGCGCCCAGCATGGCCAGCGCTGCAGCCACGAGGTACATCATATGGGACTTATTCGCCTCTGCCTCTCCCCCATCATGCCCTCGTTCCCCCCCCCCCTCACCTGCTTCCTCTGAGTCCTGCCACCCTCACTCCCTTCTTCATCCCCCCCTCAACCCCCCCTCATTCCCCCACTCCTTCTCCCCATCCCCCCCCCCCCCAGCGCACCTCTTTCCGCTGCGTCGTGCCGCCAAACCCAGTGGCCTGGCAGAAGAGTCGATAGAGGGGCACCGAAGCATAGGCGCTCCCATCCCCCCTCATCCTCCATCCATTCCCCCACTCCTTCCCCATCTACCACACCATTCCGCACCTCTTTCCGCTGCGTTGTCCCTCCGAACCCAGTGGCCTGGCAGAAGAGGCGGTAGAGGGGCACCGAAGCATACGCAGCGCCCAGCATGGCCAGCGCAGCAGCTACTAAGTACATCAGATGGGACTTATTCGCCTCTGCCTGCCTGCCTGTTGGCCCGCTCGCGCCGAACCTCCTCCGAGCCTGCTGGCTCTGCTGGTTCGGCGACTCCTGGTGGGAAGTTCGGGGCTGGGCTGCCAGGGGTTGGTGCTGCTGCTCCTGCTGGTTCTGGCTAGCTGGTTCGGCTGCTTTGGTCTCTTGAGAGAAAACAGAGATTCCTGTAGCGAGGTTAAACGGATTGCAAGAAAGGAAGACGGAGGGAATGGGGATTAAGGGAGAGGAGGGATGAAGAGAGAGAGGAGAGGAGGGGTGTGGGAGGTCGAGGGAGGAGGGGAGGGGGAGTATGGGGGTGAGGGTGGGCGGTGGTTCCTCTGTTCTTGAGAGAGAGAGAGAGCAAGCAGCACGAGTGGGATACGTTTTTTGAGAATTCTTAAAAAACATACAAATGATGTGGTCATCTGTGCAGCACGCGTGCAAGAGAGCGGCTCAAGTGCGAGCAGCAGGGAGAAGAGGCGAGGGAAACACCATGATGAAACGACGCAGATGCTGCTGACGTGGCACTGCAGCCCGCCAGCGCGGCAGCAGCCACCCGCGTGCTCTGCGGATGCCACGTCACGCGCCAACAGGCTGGCGAATGCACCTGCTGCGCGGGTGTGACTATAGCGTCGAGACGTGCGCTACACGCTTGCGCGGATGTGACTAAAGCGGGAGGGAAGAACGCGCGCGGGTGCGGAGAAGGCCACGGGGTGCTATAACGAAGGAAGAGGGGGCTTTGGTGGTGAAACTGCGGCGAGATCGCGGCTCGATCTACTAAAGGGGGGAAGGAGCTTGGTGTGGGTAAACTACTGGTGGCTTGAGGGATGTGCTTGTAACGCGGGGTGACGAGAGTGCTCGACTCGAGAATGCAGGAGCGGAACGCGCAGAGCGCGTTACGCAGCACGTGGCGCGACGACGCCATCGGCCATGCAGCGCGTGCGCGGAGGTCAACAGGAGTCAGCAGGAGTCAACGCATATGCAGCGAATCTAACGAGTTGCGTGATGGCGAAGGCACCCGGGAGCGGCGGCGGCGGCGGCGGCGGCGAAGCGGTCTTATGGACGGTGGTGGCGGAACAAGGATCACTACGAAAGTGATGCGCGGCGGAGTGGCAGCGATTTGAGGGAGGGTGAATGCTCGGCCTGTGAACCACAATCAACTGCCTCGGGGATTTGATATCGGGGGATCCCGAGACAAACAAGGTCAAATTAAGGGCGCGTCCCCTCCCTCGATCGATCCTGCCCTCGATCGATCGAGGGAAGGATACGATGTCGCAATTGACAAGGTAACCAGATTTCGAGACAGCTTGCGACTGTACAGTTATCGGCGCTCAACGATCTTGTCACCTCCATTGATGACGTTCGATGTGCCTTCCTGGCCACACCGATCTCGGCTTTTGTAGGATCGAGTGTTTTTCCCCCTTGTATTTTCGAACCTGTCATCCAGGGGCTCGAGATCGACCGCAAGTGTCACCACCTACCAATCCTGCCCCAACCCTGCGATCGGTGTGCCCGATCGGTTTTTCACAGCGATCTCGCGATCGATCGAGGGAGGGGACGCGCCCTAAAAGTTCCATTTCGGTGTATAGTGGTATGAAGCGGTGAGCACTTAAACCGAATTCAAAATTGGTTGACCGTGTCAAACCGCGTCAGAAGCGTGTACTCAGCATAACTTCACATGAGATTCGGGCCCGATTCGTTATAACGTGCAACAGTTGTGCATATCAGTGTTATTGGCCTATTTAGTCGCTTCAAATTCGCGGGTGTTATTTCTGCATGCATTTCGTAGCCTGCACGTTTTCCACCACCGTCGCGGGTTTCGTGTGGAGACCTTCGCTGGGAAGCTTATCCAAAGCTGGGTGTGAGAAGCATTGGTGAATCGAGAATTAGGAATGAGGCCGTTCACCCCGCAAATTCTGCCCGTTCCGTCACCTAATTAGTTCTACAGCCATGAAGCACAGCAAGACTCGTTACCTATGTTTGACCAATCACGAGGTACCTTCATGTTTCTCAGCGGTGTTACGCGACGAGCAGAGCATAAGGGCCAAACTTGTTGTATGCATACGATAATTGACCACTGGAGGCTAGAGTAGTGGCTGCATAAGTCACCACCATGAACCCTCAGCATCATTTGATAATGTACGCTTAGGCAATTGACTACTCATAGGTCTAGAACTTACCTAAATAATGTGGTACTTTTACCTTCACTTACGGTATGCCTACTTCCAAATCGCTCTTCCAAATAATAGGAGTCGTCCTTCTCATCTTATTGAACCATCCAATATTCAAATCGTTCTTCTATTCTCAAAATTTTCGCCTATTCTCAAATCATTCCCCTATTCTCAAATCATTTGCCTGTTCCCAAATCACTCTCCTAACCTAAGATTATTCTCGTACTTTCCAAACCATTCTCCTGCGTTCGAGTCAGCTTCTTGCTACGCTAACTGTGATGTCCAATCCGTGGTACCTGACTAAGCTATCAATCCAGTTTCGAGGTGCAGATTGCCACGTGTCAGAGCCTGAGCTCCAGGTCAACACACTCTTTGCAAGTTGCCACGTGTCAGAGTCTGAGCTCCAAATCTACACACTGCTTTTTCTGCCCTGGTTGCTGCTGCTGCTGATCCAATTGGTTCACCTCGTGCTGCTGTCCTGATTGCTGCACTTCCTGCTGCTGATGCTGCTGCTGCTGCTGCTGCTGCAGCTGTGGCTGCTGCAGCTGTCTGTCTCCAAACCCTCTGCCATCCTCCCCACCGCATCCCATCCCACTTTGAAACAACAGCCTTCTAGCACCGCTTCCCACCGCACTCAAAGGCTTCTTCCCCTGCTCTCCCTCCCCGCTCCACTCCAACCCCTTCTCACTCCCCGTCTCGCCCCCTCTCTCACCCCCTCGCTCAGTAGGAGCATCCATGGCTGCTCCCTCACATGCCCTCCTCCCCCGAAGCGCAAGAGCCCTAGGCCTTTGGGACTCGCTCCTGGTTCCCCTCCCCCCCCCACCACTGCTCCACTCCACCCTTATCCTCTTTAAGAGCTGACTCACGTCAGGAGTAATGTCCCCTCTGGAACCACATGTGCCAACACCAGTAGCAGCGTCACCACCAGAAGCACTAGCAGAAGTGGCTGCTGCTGCTGCTGCAGCGGCAGCAGCAGCAGCAGCAGCAGCGGTGGCTGCAGCAAAAACTCCTGAGGAAGTCCCATGCTGTAACCCTGAAGAGTGTGAATCCACCAACATGGATTGTCTCGTTTCACCGTTCAGCCTCCCCTCGCCCTCATTCTCATGCTTCCCCTGCTGTGTGTGCTCTGCAGAGCTCTGCTTTGGAACGAACCCCTGGCCTGGGCTTTCAGTGGGGGAGGGGTGGTAACCAGAGGTGTGACTGTAAGGAGCGGTGGGGTTGTGGGGAGAGGGGTGGTAACCAGAGGTGTGACTGTAAGGAGCGGTGGGGTTGTGGGGAGAGGGGTGGGCAGTGGTGTGGGTGGCGGCATGTGCTTGCAGCCAGAGGGAGGAGAAGGAGGGCAGTTGCGGGGCGGAGGGGGCGGAAGGGGCGGAGGGGGCGGAGGGGGCAGAGGGAGCGGAAGCAAAGCCAAAGGCGGAGGGATGATGAGTGGAGGAGGGCGGTGGCGGATCAAGGGTGGGGTTGGGGGGTGCGGAGGAATGGTGAGAGAGGGAGGAGAATGAAGGCAGGTGAGGGACAGAGGCTGGGCGGAGGGAGGGGGAGTGGTGGGAGAAGGAGGAGGAGGCGGAGGGCAGGTGGGCAGCAGAGGCCGAACGGACGGCTGGGATTGGCCCACTGGGAAGGCGTGGGCGATGGAATGGGTGAGGCTGATCACTGGGGTTGTTGTGGGAGTTGTCTCGGGGCTTACGGGAAGGAGAGAGAAGCAGGGGGGTTGGCAGTGCAGGGGTTGCTGCGGGGGCTTGATGTGGTGAGGTGAGAGGGGAGGGGCGGAGGGAGAGGGAGAGGAGGGAAGGCGCTGTTGGCTCATCACCTGCCCCTCTCCCAGCTTCGTCTCGTGGCTCTGACTTTCCGGGCGGCAGCAAAGCTGCAGGGACGGCAGAGGGAAGAGGCCGGGGGGAGGGGTTGGAGCAGGAGGAGGGGCTGATGACGTCAGAGGGGGGGAGAGAAGAGGTGGAGCTGGATTGGCCGCTTGTTGGCCTTGGCTGTGGCTGTGGTACAACGGTTGCACGGGGTGCGAGGGGTGCGGGGGGTGCGAGGGGTGCGAGGGGTGTAAGCTGCGGACTCGGGTTCTGAATCGCCTGGGTGTGAATCGACAGGTTGTGAGTCAAATGGATTTCGGTCGAATGGATCTGAGTCGGTTGGTTAAGAGTCAGCTGGCTTTGAGTCGCTTGGCTTAGGTTCGGTTGGTGCAGCCAGTCAGAGCCCACACTTGCAGGGTGCGCCTGTGCTGCCACCGGCACAGGCCGATTGGAGACTTGGCTTGATGCCTCTAAGCTTGCTGGTCGAGTCAGTGGTGGTGGTGGAGGTGGTGGTGGTGGCGGTGCCATCACAGGCCCACTGGATGGTTGGGCTGGCAAAGGGAGTGAGCTGGTGGCAGTTGATTGGCTGGCTAGCTGCTGCTGCTGCTGCTGCGGTTGTTGGGAAAGGGGAGACACGAAGGCGGGGTGCTGATGTGGCGGCATGAGTGCAGCTGACTGTGTTGCGGGGAACGCTGATGTGGAAATGGGGCCGTTGGTTGACGGCAAAAAAGGGTTTGGGTTGTTCAGATGGTTTATCACCTGAGCCGTGGATTGAAACACCGCTTGAAACGGGGGTGCTTGAAATGGGGATGTCTGAAACGAGGACAGCTGGAAGTGTGGTGATGGCTGCATCAACGGACGTAGCAGAGGCCTGAGAGGGGAAGACGATGCCTGCTGTAGCTGCGACTGCTGTAGCTGAGACTGCTGTAGCTGCGAGTGCTGTAGCTGCGAGTGCTGTAGCTGCGAATGCTGTAGCTGCGAGTGCTGTAGCTGCGACTGCTGTAGCTGCGACTGCTGTAGCTGCGACTGCTGTAGCTGCGAGTGCTGTAGCTGCGACTGCTGTAGATGTGCTGCTTGCAGCATGGTTAGGGTGTCAAACGTCGCCCCAGATGCTCCAAACGGACTGCCAGATGCCCCCATGAGCGGCAACACCGGGCTGGCTGCAACCGATGGTAAGCCTCTCATTGTCGCGTCCGCCACAGGTTTTCCAGAGCGGTGAAGAGAGGTAACGAGGGGTGAAAACAAAGGCCCAGCAGAGGCTGCTGCTGCAGCTGCAGCAGCACCGCCACCATCACCACCACCTCCCCCTGCTGACATTGTAGCAGCGGCTGCCGCAGCTGCTGCTGCCGCTGCAGCAAAGAGAGTCGAAGTCCCTTGGGAAGGATTAAGAGCGAGGGAGGCAGGGAGCACACGCGAGCTTGCACGTGAACTGTCAGACGCAGCCCTCTTGATTATATGAGCAGGGCTCAGCACCATTCCTGCTTCGCCTGGTCTGCCCTGCAACCCTGCTGCTTCTTCTGTCACCCCTCTTCCTCCTATTCCTCCTACTCCTCCTTCTCCTGCTGCTGCTGCTGCTCCCATGCCTACTGCTCCTGCCGATTTGCTTCCTGCTGCTGCCCCATGTGGGTCCACGTTGGCGGAAAGCGAGCGAGAGAATAAGGAAGAGAGTGAAGGTGGTAGGTCAGCGAGCGAAGGAGGGGCGTGGGCAGAGAGCGAGCGACGAAACGAGGCAGAGAGCAAGGGAGGGAGCGGGGAAGAGAACGAGGGCGGGAGTGGGGAGGCAGGGAAGGAGGTGGAGAGCGATTGGTGGAGGGAGGCAGCATGGAGGGAGGGAGGTACGCGGATGGCTCGGGGGAAAGCATCTGAGGCACTGGCACCAGGCTTAGCGTGGTTGTGTGTTCCATGATACACCACACTTATGCTGTTGCTGCTGCTGCTGCTGCTGGTGCCGGCGCCACCGGCTGTGTCAGGAGCAGCACTAGCAGCAGCAGCAGCATCAGCAGCAGCAGCAGCAGCAGCAGCAGCAGCAGCAGCAGCAGCAGCAGCAGCAGCAGCAGCAGCAGCAGCAGCAGCAGCACCGGCAGCACCAGCTGAAGCAGATGCAGCGGATTGTTTTTTTGGAGTGCCGGCGCTGCTGCTTCGGGTGGTTATGGCACCGGCTGTAGCATCGGCTGTAGCACCGGCTGTAGCGCCAGCTGCAGCTGTGCAGGGATCTGCCTTGACTGCATCGGGAGCAGCCTTGGCTGTAGCGCCGCCTGACGTGGCTCCAGGGCTCGTGGCAGGGGAGGTTGGGGAGGATGGATCAGAAGCAGCCGTGTTCAGATCTGCAACGGCTGTAGCACCGGTTGTAGCAGCGGCTGCAGCAGCGGTTGTAGCCGCGGCTGTAGCAGCGGCTGCAGCAGCGGTTGTAGCCGCGGCTGTAGCAGCGGCTGCAGCAGCGGTTGTAGCAGCGGCTGCGGCAGCGGTTGCAGCAGGGTCGAGGACGAGGGGCGAGTCGATGGTTTTCTTTGCCTGGCAGCCCATGCTGTGGCGGGCACACCGGAAATACGCCCTGGGTGGGAAGGGAAAGGGACAGGAGGGGAGGAGGTGAGGTGAGAGGGAGAGCAGTCGCAAGCGAAGCTATGGAGGTTCCTCTTGCATGTCTGGTTTTGATTTCAGGATGCTCAGGTTTCGTGATTAGGTTGCGTCGTGTTCAGACATCACAGCGTCAGCCTACCTGGTAACCGTCTGCCATGCCGCCCATGATGGCTCTTTATGTACGTGTTCCAGAAGCCCGCTCGCTACAAGCACATCATTACATGTGCGCATCTAGCATGGGATGGGAATAACAACACACGTGACAAATTCGATTTGGTTACCTGGTAACCGCGCGGTCCATGACGGTCTTCTGGCCGTACTTGTGCCAGAAGTAGCCGTCTTCAGCCACCACTGAGCGGCTCCCTGCATGCAGCACTGGCTTGCGCTTCCTGCACGCCCATGCCATGCCATGTTATGATGCATGCATGCATTCCCATGCCATGTTATGATGCATGCATGCATTCCCATGCCATGTTATGATGCATGCATTCCCATGCCATGTTATGATGCATGCATTCCCATGCCATGCCAGGTTATGTTATGTTATGATGCATGCATTCATATGCCATGTCATGGCACGTCATGGCATGATGCGTTGTGATCGGAATCGCATGTCATGCCATGCCATGACATTGCAATGAGGTGCAGTGTGTACAGTTCCATGCCATGACATTGCAATGAGGTGCAGTGTGTACAGTTCCATGCCATGACATTGCAATGAGGTGCGGTGTGTACAGTTCCATGCCATGACATTGCAATGAGGTGCGGTGTGTACAGTTCCATGCCATGACATTGCAATGAGGTGCGGTGTGTACAGTTCCATGCCATGACATTGCAATGAGGTGCGGTGTGTACAGTTCCATGCCATGACATTGCAATGAGGTGCGGTGTGTACAGTTCCATGCCATGACATTGCAATGAGGTGCGGTGTGTACAGTTCCATGCCATGACATTGCAATGAGGTGCGGTGTGTACAGTTCCATGCCATGACATTGCAATGAGGTGCGGTGTGTACAGTTCCATGCCATGACATTGCAATGAGGTGCGGTGTGTACAGTTCCATGCCATGACATTGCAATGAGGTGCGGTGTGTACAGTTCCATGCCATGTGATCCCATGACGTGGAATCAACCTCATGCCATGCCATGCCATGCCATGCCATGCCACACATGAACCATGACCACCATGGCACAGAACCAATGCCGCAGCATTCCTATCACTTTGTGGCAGTGGTCACAAGAAATTCTGAACTAATCAAACTCTCAAGCAAGCATGATGATGCATCTGCCATCCCAAGTCTGTCGTTCCAAGTCAGCACAGTCAGCACCGCACAGTCGGCACCGCAGTCAGTACAGTCAGCACCGCACAGTCAGCACCGCAGTCAGTACAGTCAGCACCGCACAGTCAGCACCGCAGTCAGTACAGTCAGCACCGCACAGTCAGCACCGCAGTCAGTACAGTCAGCACCGCACAGTCAGCACCGCAGTCAGTACAGTCAGCACCGCACAGTCAGCACCGCAGTCAGTACAGTCAGCACCGCAGTCAGTACAGTCAGCACCGCACAGTCAGCACCACAGTACAGTCAGCACCGCACAGTCAGCACCGCAGTCAGTACAGGCAGCACCGCACAACGCACCTTGTCGGATGAGGGCCACTTCCCACCCTTGCAGTGCCACGAGACGGCCTCTGAGGCCCACGTTGGTTCTGCTGCTGCTGCTGGGCTGGTATCTCTTGCTGCCCTGGTTCCTCTCTCCCTTTCCCTTCTTCCCCTGCTTTTTCTTCCTGCGCCCCATGCCCCCTATCGCTTCCCCCATGCCCCCTATCGCTTCCCCCATGCCCCCTATCGCTTCCCCCATGCCCCCTATCGCTTCCCCCATGCCCCCCATCTCCCGCATGCTTCGCCTGCCCTTCCTGTCCCCCATGCGCCTCTCCCCCTTCATTCCCGTCGTCCTCCTCATCGTCACTGCAAGCACCACCGCTGTTGTCACCACTCGCCACGTCAGCATCACTCTCGGCCTTCATCATTGTGTCCACGTCGTCCCTGCCGCCCGGGTCACCGCCACCTCTCCCATCATCATGATCATTCCCCGCGCCCCATTCCCCTTGCATCCTACCTCCAACCCCCCTCCTCCCCCTTCCCGCTTCCCCGCATCCATCAAGCTTGCTGCGCGGAACGCCCCCTCTGCAACGGCGGCGGCGGCGGCGGCGTGCGCTGCAACAGCACCGCCCGGTTCACCCGCGGAGGCCGGGGCAGCGAAGGCGGAGCCAGCGGCTGCGCCCATGGCATCGGCGGCTTGCAGTTGGGTCAGCCGCGTGAGGAACAAACGCGGATCGGCGGAGGACTGGGGCGGAGAGGCGCAAAAATCCGTAGACAGGCGCGAGATCTGAGGGGGAAACGGTAGATGCGGCCCGGGGCCAGGCGCTGCAGCGGCGGCGGAAGCGGCGGAGGCGCTAGAATCGATGGGCGGAGCCATTGAAAAGGTTTTAGGTAGCATGGTCTGGGGCGATGCGCGGAAGGGGGAAGGGAACAAAGGCTGTGCGCCTGAAAAAACAGGCCGCATTGCGGCCTGCATTGCTAGATCCAGCAACGTCGCGCTACTGCTTCCGCCGTCGAGTCCGCTTTGTTGCGCCGAACGACCTTCCGCCGCTGCTGGAGAACCGCCCGCAGGAGCCGCGCTGCGCGCCGCCGCCGCCGCCGCCTCCCACGTGCGGTGGGACGTCGCGCGGAGAGCATCCATGGCGGACGCGAAAGGCGCAAGCGGCAATGCGGCGGCCCCGCTGGCGGCGAGCGTCGGATCCCGCGCCGCCGCCGCCGCTGTTGCAGGCGGGGGGACAACGTGGCCGCTACTAGTAGAATAACTGGCAGCAACCCCTCTATTATGATCCCCTGGCGGCGCGGCAGTTGCAGATCCGAGCATCCAATGCGGAAAGGTCGCGCGATCGAGCCCTGGTGTGGGCCGTAAGAATCCGTGACTGCTCGGAGAGCTGCTTATTAGCACCGCCGCCGCATTTTCCGGCGCGGCATTGGCAACAGCAGTGCGACTTCCTCCGAATTGCGCTGACGCCGCGAATTCGGCCGTGGTCATTCCTCCACTAGAAGTGGGCATTTGCGCTGAGAGGTAGGCGGTTGAGTCGTGAAGAGGATCCGTCATTGGGGCAGAAGCCGTCGCCGCCGGTGATGGTTGCCTGCGATCATCGTTCATCACGCGGTGAATCAGGAAAGAAGTGCAGTGGCGCGGCGACTCGGCGTGTACGGCGTACCCCAGAAAACTTTGTTTCTGAAAGAATGCCGCGGGCACAGCCCAAGGCGGGATGTGACGAGTTCCGTGTCTTGCCAAGAACAACTTCTTCTCGCTGCTTCAAGCAGTTTTAAAACGACCTTGCGGCGTCCATTTCTCAGGCCGGGTAAAGACGGATCTAGACCCGTGAATGATGCCTTCTGAATGGGATGAAAGTCGCGGCAAGACGCACACACGCGTAGGAGCCAATTTGGGTCGTTTTGGTTGTTTTTATCCACGCTCTGTCCCAAAACATCATGGGTATTGCTGCACGGACCGCGTAAGACGCATGCCACCACTGCCACTTTTACTACTTGCCAAGTCTGAAGCAGTTAGAACGTCGCTGGAAGAATCAGTTCACGCATTTGAACGTGTTACAGTGAGGCCAACTTTCCTCCCAAAACGAAGTAACAAACTCTGTTGGATAAGTCCACTGCAAGGCTTGCGGGTAAGGAGTGACAAGACAGGACAAGACGCGAACTTGCTCTCGGGTGATGTGAGTGGTTGCTGGCTGTCAGTTGTCGAGTCATGGCATCATCTGAGCAGAAGTGTTCGAGAAAGGGTGTCTTACCTTTGTCTCGAACCGGACCTCTGCATAATACAGTAGGAAGAAGTATGGAACTGCCTTTTTTGTTCTGTTCCTCGATTATATTAAAGCAATGGTGCTATTCAAGCGTGAGATGGCCAAATCTCTAGCACGCTGTAGGAAGTATCATTGTAAGTGTGGGATTTTAGTGCTCATACATTCAGGCTTGTTTAGCAAAGATGCTTCAGACTCAAGAAGCCAGGGGCTGTTTTGAGAATTTGTAATAATATCTGATAGCACTGGTAACAATCAGTAAGAACCCTGCTTGTTCTGAACTGATAGGATTTGACGGTGTTACCCACTGGGGGGTTGGAGTCAAAAACATGCTGGACCACACGCGTGACGATGTGCCACATCGACTCACACGATGAATGCGGGAATTTCTAATTGGCAGAAAACGGGAGATACTGAGACTTCGCGGTTCTGTTGCAATGAAAATTGGCCCAGACATGATTCGGCGGGAACTGCTGGTGGTGTGGCAAATTGCTGTAGGACAAAGCCATCGCCAAGAGCTGGAGGATTTTAGGGCTCTTCGGTTCGGGCCCGAGCTTCGGTTCAAACTTCCCCATCGAGGGAAGGAGAACCAGAATTCCCCTCAAAATAACGAATTAAGTTATCCATAAGCTCTGGGTCTTTTCTCCCTGAATGAGACCTGACATGGTGGAAGTTCCAGTGCGTACAGCTGCATAGGCAGTGGGGGGAGGCAATAAGCGACCAACCCCACGAGAAGCTTTGAGTAACACGTTTTTCCACTATACTCAATTCACCAAGTTCATCTGCATATGAATCATTCATACCAGAACTCACGGTGAATCATTCAAAGGTAAGTACCCTATCGCAAGTACCCAAGAAGAAGCCAACTGTCCGCAAATTGGTGAATGGGATCCTGCCCACTGGACCCACATTGACGCTCCTCCCGCCCAGGTCCTGTCAAATTGCATCATGGTGTAGTGAATACAAAAGCTAGGCGGCATCCAGTATTTACAACCACACCTCGTGAAAATGACATCCAGGACGAGAGGCAGCTCTAAATCCCATGCAAATTACACAAATAAAATGGTACTGCGGGTAGACACGCATATGACTTAGCATGCCGATGTGTCCACAGCAGGTGCACCCTTCGAAAAGAACTGTGATGGCACGCAGACACAACATGTCAAAATTGCCCCGCTCGAAGGGATGTATGAGTGGCAAGAAATGGCAAGGAATAAAGAACCGACAAGATTAAGTGTCGATGAGATATTCTCTTCGCTTCCGCACCGCAATGAACAAAAAATGAAGACAACTGGCACAACCAGCTGGTTGTGGTGCTGAGGCTAGCACAACCCCAGTGGGACAGTCTATCTTTTCATTTTGGGCCACTGTTCCTTTTCAGGGTTTGAGATGCGTTCTCCCTGACCAGAAACGTGGAATGTATGAACGAGATTTCACCGTGGTACTCATACACCCAGGTTCACACTACATCTGGCCACACAATTAAACGACGACACTTTAAGCTAGTGCTACGAAGGCCCACGAAGGTAAAGAACCCCGTTTTGACTAATCGGCCCTCAGTTTGCCATGACAAGTTTGCGAAACTCTTTCTTCGATTCGAGAGACGAACACTCTTTGATGGCGCACTTCTTTGTCGCCTATGACCCATTTCTTCTTCCTCTGACATCATCGAAATTTGACCAACCAAGCGAGCTTGGCCAATTTCAGGACGAAACGAAAGGGGCAAGCCGATATTGCCAAGGAGTTTCCAGCCACGAAGTTCTGTGCGGGGTTTTTATACGGGCCGTCACAAAAAAATTCGGAGTTATCACGAGCAGTTACATGTTCCGACAAATCTATCACGGACAGTCACAAAATCCGCCAAATCTATCACGAACCATCACACGGGTATCACCCGCCGTCACTCAAAGGCACTAATTTCTATCACGGGTAGTCACACTCGAAACTTTGCTATCACAGATGAACCCTCTCATCATTTCGTTGACCCGCCCTGAAACACTGTACAGATTTAGGGACTATATTTCGGATTGCTGGCTTTTGTCCTGTTTACGCGACCATTTTGGGTGCAAAGATACCTGGTTACGTTCGAATCGGTGTAACACACAATATCAAACAAACGCATATAGATATTGCTAGAGTTCACCATTTAAAGTATCTTCCTGAGTGATTAATCACATGCCATTTTGTGATTTCACGATTGTATATAGTATGTTCTATTATTTGATAAATATTTAGGTAGATTCATTGAATTGTGAACTCTAGCAATATATATATGCGTTCGAATTCTTTCGTAAAATTTTTATGTGTTACGTTGATTCGAACGTAACCAGGTATCTTTGCACCCAAAATGGTCGCTAAACAAGACAAAAGCCAGCAATCCAAAATATAGTCCCTAAATCTGTACAGTGTTTCAGGGCGGGTCAACGAAATGATGAGAGGGTTCATCTGTGATAGCAAAGTTTCGAGTGTGACTACCCGTGATAGAAATTAGTGCCTTTGAGTGACGGCGGGTGATACCCGTGTGATGGTTCGTGATAGATTTGGCGGATTTTGTGACTGTCCGTGATAGATTTGGCGGAACATGTGACTGCTCGTGATAACTCCGAAATGCTTTGTGACGTCCCGTATAAAAACCCTTCTGTGCGGGCTCTCTGGCGAATTTTCGCCCTGGCGGACTGAAACAACAAAACCCAAATCCAGTAGCCCCAAACACTTACTGGAAATGGACCGAGTCGGTTTGTGTAGCAGGGACCCCCAAAAGTTACGGAAAATCCAAGAAAACATCGTCAGCCTAAATGGGGCCTGGCGATATAAAAACATCGTACGTGTAGGGCATGTCGTTTATTTGTTGGCCAAGCACCCATAGGGGTATTTTCCAAGTACAGATGATGCTAGCAAAATAGCCCCCCAACAAATACACCTGACAGCCCAAATGGTCGGGTTTTACAGGCACGACCCATTCATTACAAGCCCGCGCAGAGCACACTCTTACGGCCTTGTTGTACTGTTTTGTGACCGTTATTGAAGAAATATGCGAATCTTCCAATTGTTCTCACAACGCAGTTAAGACAGTAACGCGTCTGTCACACAGAAACAAATTTGTATTCCAGTGAATATCAAGTGGAACTCCGAAATCAACATTCCTTGTCGCGACCGAGGAATGAGACACGTTCCGTGAAAAGCTGACACTGTGCTGTTCCACCTTTTTTATCAAGTTGCATCCTCTTTCGGACAGTATTTTTTTCCATCTCGTCACCACCACCACCAAAAACAAAAATGTTTGACGGAGACTGCCGCAATCCTTGTCGAGATCGACAGTTACATGGGTTTGTGAAGCCCAGTGGAGATCTCGAGCCAACCGCTAGGGTATGCAAATCGAGAAACTGTATGAGACACAAGAGGTGAGGACGGCTGAGATATGTCCACATCAGCAAGACTGCTGCCCTGGTTCAATCTCACCAGCTGAGTTGCTGTGCTGGCGGAAGGTTCACGAATGTTGTTGACGGGGGAATGGTTTGATAGGATTTCGGGTTATTTTGTAGGATCTATCCATCAGATACCAGTCTGCGCTTATGTCTATATTCCAAACCTCCTACTAAAAAAAAGGTCGATATTGCAACCCTAAAGGAATAAATAAATTGAAATTGAAACCCTACTAAGGCAAAGGACGACACAAGCTGACTGGACGTGGAGCAAGTAAAGTTAATTGAGGGAGGAAAGCATGAGAAGAATCACTCCGATAGTGGTTGGACAACGTGACAGGCTACGTGGTTGTACGGGTGACCAATGTGTCGCTTGTATTTTCTCTACTTGCTGTGGTCAAAATTCTTGGAACTTGTAGAACAAAAATCACATACAATGGATTGGCAAATATAATACATATTGAATGCACAAGAAACCTAGCAAGTTGACATCGATCGCAACAATACGTCGGCTTGCCAACGCTGCAAGTCCGTGGTGTGTCAACGCAGCTGGAATGCAGCTTGCCAACACATCAAGATGGCGGCCTGCCAGCATTGCACCAGGGCGGATTGCCAACGCTGAAGCAAGGTGGCCTGCCAGCATTACGGCTGTAAGTGATCATATGCGCGCATGCACGCATCTACCAAGTAGGTGCATGTCGATAGTTGCACCGTCAGACACATGGCACAGGTGCTCAGGTCGTCGACATGTCGACGGTTGTCCCATATGTACCACGTTGCCCCTCGTGATGCTGTAAAGGCTGCTTAGTCGGTATAGTCGGCGCCCGCAATTCGGCGTTATGTCGACGACCACTGTCGTCGACCAACAAGGCCGAGCGTCGCCCGCCAACTTCACTTCCTTGGAGTGCGTCATGGCCGGCTTC